TAGACCCCCTTAGATGCGTTTTCTGCGCGAGCAGGGGGGGGGGCCTGGACCCCCTGGACCCCCCCCCCTTTACACGCCCCTGATACCTTAGATTCATATATAAAGTACAAAATAGTTGTTTTACACGAGTGTCGACAGCAGATTAAACAGCCGCTATAGCTCGCCGATTACCGAACCGACGTACACAATAGGCGTTTTATATTGTCATCTTTGTCATTCACGCAGATTCATGTCACAGTCGTGTAACAATATGTAAAGCTTTGATGTAATATGTATCACTCAGAACTATGTATCACACAATGTACTGTATAACTGCTCAACACTATTGCATTCATTTGATTTTTTCAGTCTTCAGTACACGTATTTGTAGTTGAATTACATGCAATAAAGATTTAATAATAATAATAAACAATTGCCGGTTCTTTATGCTGACCTTTCATCTGCTGTGTCAGGCAGTAACATTAACAGTGAATAAAAGTAATCACTTATTCCTTACTCCCCTCTCGCGGATGGTATCGCCCACGGCGTCAACAACACCGTGAAATGTTAGCCAGCCAAATGACCGTATCTCAGCCAAAACTTTTCCATCCCCCGAGGCACGAAAATGTGAATTTACGCCTATAATACACGCGCACGCGTGTGTTTCCCTAATAAACTTTTATGAGTAGACCTCTGTTTATAATTAGGAGAGCGACCTAGCATACAGGGTACAGTAGGGTACAAAACACCTAGTTTATGCCCTCGCGTCCTTCCCCTTGCCTCCCCTGTCCCACGCTCAGCCTCCTTCTACCGCCTCCAGCTATCTTCCCTGCCGGATTTCCTCAGTCTCCCATCCCTTCTCTCCCTCTGCAAGCTATATTATGAAGTTTGCCTCATTGGGCACTGCATGCCTAACACGGTGCGCGCGCATGCGCAATATCTCCTGAGAGAAATCGAACTTTGCAAAGATTATGCATTTAAAATGAAGAGGAGTTATCCTGGCATAGATTTATATGATAACATTCCATCAGTAGACATCATTTAAGAAATAGGAGGAAGACCTTGCATGTAATGTCCCGGCTACGTATACCAGCCAGTACACAATCTGGCTACGCTAGTGTGTCAGCGCATGCGCAATATCTCACCAGAGGACTTATATTTTGTGATGAATATGCATTTAAAATGGTTAGGGGGTATCTCAGCACAGATTTCCCTAATAAACTTTTAGCAGTAGACCTGTGTTTATTATTAGGAGAGCGCCCTAGCATGTAGGGTACAAAACATCTACTTTACGCCCTCGCGTCCTTCCCCTTGCCTCCCATGTCTCTCGCTCAGCCTCCTTCTTCTTCTACCGACCCCAGCGATCTTTCCTACCGCCTTTCCGCAGTCTCCCATCCCCTCTCTCCCTGAGCAAGCTATATTATGAAGTTTGCCTCAGACGGCACTGAACGCCTAACACGGCGCGCGCGCATGCGCAATATCTCCCGAGAGAAATCGTATTTTGCAAAGATTATTTATTTAAAATGAAGAGGAGTTATCTCATCATAGATTTATATGATAAGATTCTATCTGTACATATCATTTAAGAAATAGTATAGGAAGACCTTGCATGTACGGTCCCGGCTGCGTATACCAGCCAGTACACAATCTGGCTATACGTTAATGTGTTAGCGCATGCGCAATATCTCACCAGGGGAGTTATATTTTGTGATGAATATGCATTTAAAATGGTTAGGGGGTATCTCAGCATAGATTTCCCTAATAAACATTTATCAGTAGACCTGTGTTTATAATTAGGAGAGCGGTCTAGCATGTAGCGTACAAAACACCTACAGTATGCCCTCGCGTCGTTCCCCTTGCCTCCCCTGTCTCTCGCTCAGTCTCCTCCTTCTTCTACCGCCCCCAGCTATCTTCCCTGCCGCCTTTCTCAGTCACCCATCCCCTCTCTTCCTGAGCAAGCTATATTATAATGTTTGCCTCAGACGGCACTGCACGCCTAACACGGTGCGAGCGCATACGCAATATCTCCCGAGAGAAATCGTATTTTGCAAAGATTACGCAGTTAAAATGAAGAGGAGTTATCCCAGCATAGATTTTTATTATAAGATTCCATCTGTAGATATCATTTAAGAAATAGGAGGAAGACCTTACATGTAAGGTCCCGGCTGCGTATACCAGCCAGTACACAATCTAGCTACGTTAGTGTGTTAGCGCATGCGCAATATCTCACCAGAGGAGTTATATTTTGTGATGAATATGCATTTAAAATGGTGAGGGGGTATCTCAGCATAGATTTCCTTAATAAACATTTATCAGTACACCTGTGTTTATAATTAGTAGAGCGCCCTAGCATGTAGAGTACAAAACATCTACTTTATGCCCTCGCGTCCTACCCCTTGCCTCCCCTGCCCCTCGCTCAGCCTCCTTCTTCTTCTACCGCTCCAGCTATCTTCCCTGGCAAATTTCTTCAGACTCCCATCCCCTCTCTCCCTCAGCAAGCTATATATTATAAAGTTTGCCTCAAACGGCACTGCACGTCTAACACGGTGCGCGCGCATGCGCAATATCTCACCAGAAGATTTATATTTTGTGGTGAATATGCATTTAAAATGGTTAAGGGGTATCTCAGCATAGATTTCCTTAATGAACATTTATCAGTAGACTTGTGTTTATAATTAGTAGAGCGCCCTAGCATGTAGGGTACAAAACACCTAATTTATGCCCTCCCGTCCTCTCTTTGCCTCCCCTGTCCCTCGCTCAGCCTCCTTCTTCTTCTACCGCCCCAGCTATCTTCTCTGCCGGATTTCCTCAGTCTCCCATCCC